TCTCAAATAAAATACCTAAAGACGTTAAGAAATATTGTATTTTTTATGTTGATACTAAGAATCAAACACAACCAATTTTGCTTGGGTTTAGCATCATTGCTTTTATAAGTTTTCAAATTAAAATTCTTTTCGTAATGATATATTTGAGTTTTTGCAGAAGTTGTATATAGGCTTGAAATGGTCTCAAAAAATTAGGCCATGTTCTATTGCTACGATAAGGTCACATGCAAACATGAACACTGCATTTTTCACACCACTAATTAAATTAGAAGTAGCATTTGATTGCGAACTGAGCCAGCTCAGTTGGTTAGGTTCATTATGGTTGAACCTATTCATCCGGGTTAAGTCTTAGACTTGGCACGGATTCTCGTATTTTTTTATATTTATTTCAGGATTTAACGGCATTGCGATTTCAGTGGTAGACACTAGATTTATTCTATGATTTGACGGCGGTGCTCATAGGGGGTAGCGTTTGCGTGCATGGGGTCGTTGCGCTTTCGGTTGTAGCCCTGGATTTATTCCAGTGTTACCTGAAACTCTCCGTAAAAAATGCAACTATAAATTGCGTGCAATTTAATGATACTTATTTTGTCTCCTCATTGTTAGTATATTTTTATATAATTTTAGTCAAGCTTCAAATAGTTTGATTTTTCAAAAAGCGCAATTGTATTTTCTTTTATGGTTGACGGAGGGAGTAGATATGAACAATAAGGAATGTAAACAACTTGTATGTCTGTTCTCTGTAGGCAACCTCGGTGCCTCAACCTGAAACGTGTGTGCCCTCAACCTCGGTTCTGAGATCAGGACCATGGTAGCCATGCGAAATATATAAAAAAAACAAAAGGAAAAGGACATGTCCAATCCAGCAGGAGCTCGTTTCAGTGAAAAAATAAGCAAGCATCCAGCTGGGCGTATGGCACCACTTGTCGGGAGTTGAATTGCCGATTGGAATCGGCCATTTATCATATCGGTCTTAAAATAATATTATTTCAAAAAAATCTGCTAGAATACATTGTTGTTTCTAAATTTTATGAGTAATGAAATAATTTACTCATAATACAAATCATTCTTTTGACCTTCCATCACCTAACATCACCTAAAATATAGTCAGGCAAAATTGGATGGCTCAAATAGAACATCTAAAAACTGAAGATTCCAGTTGGTAAATAACTAAAAAGGAAAAATAGAGTGACCTAAATAAATTCAAAAATAGTTCAGAGTTCTCGATACAAATTTGTTTATTAACTTTTATTATTTCCTAAATAATGATTGAATCCGTCGCCGTAAGTGTGGGCAAAAATTCTTAGCTCCGGTGTAATTGCACGGGCATATAAGAGTAAAGTGTTTCTTTCATCCGTAGTTTTTATTTCTTAAACTCTCCTCACACCATCCGTGAGACCGTACGTCTCATACATGACCCCCGATTCATGACGTATGATTATACGAAGAGGAACTCACGTATAGCAATAATACACAGTTCTATTTCAAGACGTATTCGGTTCTGTGCAGTGCACGGGCAAGTTTGCCGCAGAAGGGCTCGACCGGAGAAGTAGATAATGGCAGTTGGGCATAGGAGGATTCCGGAGAAGAAATTTTCTATTTAACACTGAAATTTTTTTTTCTTTCATACTTGACACATAAACTTAAAATCTTTCATATTTGTCGATCCTTTCATTTTTTTTTTTCTTTTCTATTTGACACTTCCCTTACTTTGAAGCTATAACGATGTCAAGTCTCAGATGAAAGACTATTTTGCCCCTGATGTTCCTTTTCGCTGGTTGTTCCTGCGTTTTTTTTTGGTACTTTTATTTTCAACTGTTATGTTTTCGTTTTTAACTGCTTCTGTAAAATATAAAGGATAGTCACGAAATTTTCTCTCCCACACAAGCGAGCTCCCACGGACGATTGCGTGCGCACCTCACGACCGTCTCTGTGCATGCGGGCTTGCGCTCTGCCGCCGTCGTTTCCGGCCTGGGCTGACAAGCACGCAGCAACAGACGGGCCAGCACCCGCTTGTGCCTGGACCTGGACCGTGTGGTTGATGTGGCGGTAGGTCCACGGTGGGCATGCCTGGACCGGGCTCTCGGTATCAGGGGTTGGCTTCGAAGCTTCATTGCCAGAAAACTGCAAAGGTAAACTATTACTATGCTTAAGATTTAAGACACTGCGATCTTTTCCCGGCTTCACACATTAATTGAACTAAATAACATCAAGCTTGACACTTGGTGGGATTGTTCTACTTAGGCATGTCATAGCAATCCTCTTAGCTTCCTCAAAGGGCGGTGGTCCACTCTTTATCGTCCAAAGATCACCAGCAGAAGTACTACGTTTATGTGTATCTACAGTTATAACCTCCAGTGCAGGAGCATTTTCGACAACGTGTAACATAAATTCGACTTGTCCTCTTGCCCCTTTGAATCCTGCAATGCACATCTTCTTCAAACGATTGTAGGGATTGCATTGCCCAATGTCCTGCCTACGAGGACCCACGTCTGCCAACCATAAAGATGTAGTGCCACCAAACTACAAAGATAAACAGAACAGTGTTATCCATGGTTCAACTATTTTATTTGTAATGTGTATGCATTTAAATTTGGGTGCCTAGATCATATGGTGAAATTGGAGCGCAGAGGGTGGGTAATGGGGACAACCCGTAGTAGGGCATTGCTATTGAATGACCATATTACCAAATGAATCAAGTAGAAATGAATCTGAGTACCAAGCAATCGAAATTAGTTTAGCTAACTATAAATAGCATGACACCAAGCAATGCAATCGATCAAAGGCAACTCATAATTTTACCCAACTGCAATGAAGAAAGCAATCTGTGCAGCAGGGGTCCCAGTTGGATAAACAGGAGTGCTAAATCTTTTAGCGAATAGTGTCTGGATAATTGTTTCAAATATACTCTCCTAATATGGCTTCTTAGAAGCTACCGAAATACAGCAAACGAATGAATCAGCGCGCTAATAAACACTTGCATAACAATTGAAAAAACAATTCTGCCTAACTTTTTAGACACATCACCACGGAACTTAAAGAAGAGGAGAATGCATAACAGATAACTCATCGAGGAATATAGATAAATTAAATAGGATGAGAATAAAAAACAAACTTAAAAATACAATTATCACTTACATGAACCTCCAAGTCCTCAATAAAAGGTGTGGCCCTCAGAAATGATACTGAATAAAGAATGCTATCTTCATTTCTGCCAGGTATATTCAGGAACAACTGCACGTGCTTAAGACGGGAAAACTTCAATGGGTTGTCCCACAAACATTGCTTCTGAAATATAAAACATAAAATGTCATTGAACTGAATTTTTCTGATAAGTTAAAACATAAAACCTCAAAACTCATATAAGGGGGTTTACCTTTATTAGCTCTAGCCACGCAATACGGAAAGTTAGATTTTCCACGTTTGGAAGACCGTTGAGAAGTGATATGAGGGCATCCTGAAAAACTGCCTCGTAGAACATAATATTTGCACTTTGTATCTTCAATGAGTGGCTGAGTCCAATTGGTATAAACCGTCCATAGTATTCAAAGGTAGTAAGATTCCTAGCATGGAATTCTACCTTGGTAAATTCGCAATTGGTATAAGCCAGAAGTCCTATTTTTTCCCGCCTCCAGCATCGAGTCTAATTTTGGTTCTAACTATTCGTGCAATACGTAGAAGTCCCGTACTACTTATGCAAGACATGAAATTCCTGTTTTTTCTCACGTCAAGCTGTCCGGTTTTGCTTTCCATGTAAACACATGCCGTGTAATAAAACATAAAATAAAAATCCTAACAAGACTCGAACACGAACACGTACAGGACGCCGCGGTAGAGTATTAACTCCCTCAACACTTGCCAGCCCACGTGATCTAGCAACTTAACCGAGTGGCGTAATCCAAAAGTTGAGTAGACTACTACATGAGACCAATAAAGTGGCGAGTTGGCTTGGTCACGTAAAAAAAATGTGTGTTTACTAATGTTGAGGTATACTGTAGCGCGATAATACATAATACATAATGCATATCCATATATAGATTTCGCTAGGCCGGCGCGCCCAGGCTGCCTCCGCCGCCGCGTGTGGGCTACGCCCAGGCCGCGGGCCGCCCCAGCCCGGGCCGTGGGTTTTTTTTTTGGTAGAAGGCTCTTTTCTTTTTTTCTCTTGGGTAGTTGGAAGCTTACAAAATTCACCAAAATCCATAGAAAATCAGAAAAAATATAAAATAATTTTTTAGCCTCCTAGAGTTGTGTTCTTTCAAGAAATGCTTTGCCTCGTGTACCACTCTACTTTTTCTGCGGTTTTATTAAATCGTCTTGTATATGTGTTGCATGTATATAGGTTCCGCAGTGCCTGGAACGTGCCGGAGGTGGACCTAGAATACGAGGAGGTTGTCAAGGAGTACGAGGAGGAGGTCCTTCGTCGATGGTGTTTCTGAAACCTTCACTGCCTTTCCCGCTAACCCGGTTCCTGCCCAAGGCAAGCCCCCGTGTATAACTCCTATTTTATAGTCACTTATTATTACGTCAATGTGCATTAAGTTGTAGGAGTTGATTGGAACCCACCTACATAAAAATATTCTTATCCTATGGGCATGTTCGCTTGGAGGAATTCTTGAGGAATTTGGATGGTTTTGAGGAATGCTAAAGGAATTTGTGAGAGAAAAACACTGTTCCTGATGAAAAAAGAAGCGGATCAAGCCGGGTTTAAGGGCACGCGAACGGGGCCTATGAGTCCTACAAGTATGACAGGACTCAATGTAGATGCTATGCTTAGGGATTCCGGTAGTACATGAGTGATTTGTTGTACTCACATCAAGGTTAAAATATTGTTATTGCTATCACATGGTTTTGGAGCTGGATAATGAATTGGAGACTGGATGAAAATTTGGTGGTTAGTGATGCAACAGAGTATGGAGACTCTGGGTGCACTAGTCCCGCTTGTGTCGATTAAGGACCATACTGAAGGTGGCGTTGAACAAGTTTGAGCGTACCAAACACATACCAGGGTTCCCGAGTTATGGTTGGCCGAGAATCCTAGGCACCTCTCTTGCCCTGAGTTACTGGCCTACACCAGTTGATTAGGCATGAGACGGGGGATGTTGGAGGGACACCGTGACAACTTGCGACAAGGCCGTAGTGTTGGGCTAGGCTCTCCCGGTTGGCTAGGTAGGTTCGAGCTTGGTCACAAGTTTGGGAATGGTTAGTCTTAGCTTGGGGCTGATCCAACTAGATGTAAATTGATCTGAATCGCCACAAGTACCCTCGGATATGGATACCTTGGCCATCTCACCACTGTCGTAGTAACAGCCGAAACATAATGATGGTGGTTATGAGATTGGAAGATGGATGATGATGAGATATTTTGATTGCTTACCATTTGTTTGAAAGTAATTCAGATGCTTACTTAGAATGGTTAGGTAATAAACATGATGTGACCACTAAAATGAATATAAGAATGCACTATTAGTAAGCTCCTTTTACAAGGCAAATAAAACAGCTAGTCAAATACCCACCTGCATATCCTTGAGAGCCGAGAAATTATTCCCACCGTATATCCAAGACAAATAAAATGCTATATGAAAATATCCCTGCAATAATGCAATCTATTTTGATTAAGCAATCACAACTTTCGTATACCATGCACACCATGGCACCATGCCAATATTTCATATACCACAACAGCACATCTCGATATGTACAATCATATTTCATCAAAATGTCACATCTACTTCATGATGAAAGATGACTAAAAAATAAAGAGAAGCAACTCCATTTACAAGCTTACTATGCATCATATGCAGCAAACAAAACCAAACCGTTTGCCAGATGACTAAATAAGAACGACTGATGCTAAACTAACAAAAGGTGGGGAAAGAAACAACAGGCGCATCATGATACTGAAGCCCTAGAACGACATGTACATAGGTTGCTTTCATGCCATAAATTTGGATTATTTGAACGACAAGCTGGGACGGGGCAGCGGGGCTGGAGCCCTGTTAGTTGAGTCGACCACAAGAGGACCTCGATTTACTGAAGGTGTGGTTGCAAGATTATCTACTATGGTCCTCTAACAACGCAAGAATGTCTTCGTCGCTTGTTCCACCATCGATTGCATACTGTAATGCTGTCCTACCATCTCGATCCATGGCTCATGAATCAGCCCCTCTGCATACAAAAGAAAAAAGAAAATGAGACTTCGCGTTTGGATTCCTGCCACTTTGCTAGATCATTTCTGTCCATAAAAAAGCAGAAAGCACACTAGTCGCTAAACAAAACAGAGCTCTGATGATGATTATATATTATTATACTAGTAGTGATTCGAATAAACCTTGTTGACAAATCAAACATGTAGCCCAATGCAAGATCAAATTCCTGAATAGTAAGCTTCTTGCATACCTGGAGAGGAGAAGCTTTGCATGTCGATGTCTTCCTTTCAAAATGCAGTGATGAAGGGGTGTCCGAACCCTAGAATCATTCGATATTACACTAGCACCATCTTGCAAAAGTAATTCAACCATCCCAACTTTTGCAACACGGCATGCAAGATGGAGCAAGGAGAGACCTTCACAACTGTCCTCCATGTCATCTGTGCGTGAACTCGTGCAGTCGTGCTAGCAGGGGAAAGGGGCTCTCGAGGAGAAATCTTGTCATGTGAATTGCAATCGAAAAATCTAGGACTTCCATCAGGTGGTGAAGCCGGTTGCTCTTGCTGAAGTGCTTTTCCAAGAGTCAAAAATGGGCTAGAAGGCATCTCTCCATAAACTAAATTTACATTGGCACGTGATCTCACAATGAGACTGTATGCTGCTTTCTTGTCATTTGCAGCTACACTATTCCACATCGGCTGAGCTAGCTGGTTCTCATCCATGCTATGGTTCCGTATGAATTCTTTGTCTATATACTGCAATATTTACCCGAAAAGATAAAAAAAAATCATCATCCAAATTGGGATATATCACACTAAATATATGTTCAAACTGAAGATCTTCAAATAGGCCTATAAATACATGCATTGAACCATGTGATAACGTTATACAGATTCTAGTTCATGCAGTGTTGTTTTAAGATGGTTTCATGGGCATGTGATCATGGATGAGCATTGGCTAGTGCCTAAAGTAATTTCTTATGAAACCTCAAGAATCTTGCCAAGAATGTAGCCCCTCCAATCACCGCTAAGTGTCATTTCGGAATTGAGTGCAGATTTGGCGCCCAGGGGGGTGGGTGCCCTTGTTAGCTAAAATACCATGTTACAATGTTTCAAAAAATCATCATAAAAGTCATGTATGCAGTACACATAAAGTTAAATATAGTTGTAACAATTCAGTTTAAAATTCATCCTTGATGTCATGAAACAAAATAGACAAACAGTCGACCAGGCACTGTTCATCATGTGCTGACAGTGACACTTGTGCTTTGAATCTCGTCACCAAAGAATTGGATGAACATAAGGAATGTCCAGAACTGGCAACACATCCTAATTGGCACTATCCATGTTGGGACTGGAGTTCTCTATTTACTAATCTGTAAGGAGTCATATTTGTGCAACCATTCTTTGCATGGAGACTCTTCGAGACAATTTGGTTTTTAACACCCCATCCATTTGCTAAAGAACAAAGGAATACAAGCAGTTGTCAATGTAGTGAATACCTTCGAATGAATAAACTTCTCCTTAGCAGAGAATACATCTTTATGTTTAGGCTTGCTAACAGAGAGGTATTGTGACCAGGCACGAAGCCAGCGGTGGGGCTAGGGGGGCTCTAGCCCCCCCTACCCATCCTGCGCACGTGGAGCCCCCTTAAGCCCTCCTTTAAAATTTTATGCATATATGTATTAGGTAGGAGGGGTTAAGGTTAAGAGAAGATAAAAAAACATCTATTCTTTTGTTTCAGCCCCTCCTAAATTTTTTCCTGGCTTCGTCACTGATTGTGACGTGTCTGATCCATCAGCACTGCAAAAGAAACAATGTTGCAAGTTTATTACCTGGAGAGCAATAGAGAAGACATTGAATTACTTCATAAAGAGATTCAAAACAGACATAATATTACCTTGAATTATCATCTGGCAACATCTCTTCCCAAATATTGTTGACAAACATGTTGCCTAATGACTGAAAGAGATTGATTACAGATGGCTCCCAAACTCTGACATCAAGTGTCAGAGATCTTACCTGAAATAAGATGCATGTGTTTAGGCTACTATTCTGTATGAAAATAAATGTATAATTATCCTAAATTAGCAATACAAAAATGATACTCAGCTATAAGGAACCCTATTTGCAGACTTTACAAGTCTGAAAAACTAACTGTCTTGGACGACAGGTTCATATTTTAGAATCTTTAGCAATTTAAGTGTTGACACTTTTTTGGTCCAAAAGTGCAATCATGTTTCACTTCCTTCTCTATGCAAAACACGTGCTGTAGCTTTAGGTGTAGCTGTCAGTGTGATAGCACCACTGCACCAAAGCCCAAATTTATGTGATATCATGCACACACTGAAACCTCTAAACTTTAAAGAATAAATGAATGCAGAAATCAATCTATGTGCATGACCATCAAGAGAAACAAGCGTCTATTAAAAAGAATTAACAGTTAAAAGTTTTGTAGTTACCTTTGATATATGCACTCCAAGATTTCTGCGCACCCCAAGAACACTCTATGCATAGAAGTGCACCAAGGTTTAATGATGCCCAATCAGGTTCTGAAGCACCACAGTCAGCACACATATTATTGCCATCAACTTTCCTAAGCAAGTCAATTGTTTTTTCAGGTTTGCTAGTTCTGTGATGATGTGTGCCTCTGACATCATGCTGCCCATTTCCAGAGTACTCCAGTACTATTACGGAAGGTTCAAATTCATGGCAATCGCCCCTTGTATATATATTATTTTGCACAAGGAAAATGTTTATATTTTACAAAGAACAAGAAAACAGTGTTACCGATCATCACCTCATCAAGCGTACTAAACTACCGTACACATTGCTTCGTGCAAGAACGGCTCAAAATTGAATTAAAATGAAGATGCTGATGCTATGCACTAACCACTAAACAAGGCAGCAGGAGGCATACTAACTGAGAAGAAACATAAATTGTGGATCTTTTCTACAAATTAGACTCAGCCACACGTTGAAGCTACAAGGTTTGCGAGCAAAAGCTGCAATACACAGGCGAACTGCGCCATGAGAAAAGGGCCAAACTGCAAATGGCCGCAGTTGACCACAACGTCCATTGTTAGTTCAGGACGACGCACCGTCCGACCGAGGTGACTGGTAAGGTAGTCTTTTTTTTTTTTTTGAGGTAGGAGAAAAGTAAAGTTTCAAAACACGATAGAGTAAATAAGACACTGGTCAATATTACATAATAGAAGTTCCCAGTGCAGTAACCGAAACACAAACACAAGATGTCTAACAGTTGGGTTCATGGTGGCTTCATGCAAACCAACCAGTTACCCATTCACAGCAGCAACATGAGACTTATTTGGACTGAGCCTAAACCACTAGTATTTTTTTGGCCACAGTCCAAGCTTCACAGATAGCTGCTTCTTTATAACCCTTCTTTTAGCTTGCAATGCTCTTTTGGCTTTAAATGCTCTTTTGGCATCCGTAACGAACAACACCATTAATTTTTGGGCCCGAGCCCTAAAATCACGGACCATCATCATTCTTTTGTGGACTTCCAAGCAAGGGCCCTTAGCAAGCTTATTTCTATATTTATGTGCATTCATAAACAACATTGAAAGCTCATCTCCTGTAAACAACTCTTTTTCAGCCAAAGTTGTTCCTGGAGGATGAGGTGACTCTATGCCCTTTGCACAGCAAACCAAACACGAACTCGTCCTGGCCAGGCTCAGCAGCGCAAGCAACCAAACAAACGCCTGTTGGCTCCCTGGAAACAGGCCTGCGGTGCCCAGGCTAGGATTATTCCTGGCCAGGCTACGATGGACCAACAAACCTAACACACCCATATGATCTTCAGAGCCGTCGCAAGTTTGATCAAATCCCAACCCTTATAGTTAACGCTAGACACCACCTGAAGGAGGTCACCACCTTGCGCAGCGGGGTAGAAAGATTCCTCTCACAAATATCAGAATCGTACAAGACGCATGCCGCCATAATCATTGCTTCAGAGACCATCTCTGGTTTCACACCGAAGCCATAACGATCCAGCAGCCATTTTAGTCCTTGGCTCATTGGTAGGCGATCTTTCTTTGTCAGCTCGAGTTTTTCTGCTGGTACTAAAACGTGCATGAGATTCTTCAGGCCCCACATCGCCTCCATCACAGTTTCATTGAACAGACAACGTACAGGCAAGCTCTTCTCAATGATTCTTTTGGATTCCATATTTCCGACGGCCAATGTCCGTGAAGGATGGCAACATCTCATGATCATACCAGTAAGTTCCCCATTGACACCAGTATCCTGATTAATGGCACTGGACTTGTCCTTGAAAGCTTTGAACTCTTTCAGCCAAACGATATCTTTTGCCCTATACTCCTCGCCGAAGTGTGCCCAAATATTCTCCAGCGCGTCTGGGTCGTTGAAGTGGTGCCCATACATAGCGAAAATGGCAAAGCCGGAGGGAGTTTCAAGCAGCAATGAGATCAGTTCATAGTCCCCGACAAGGGGAAAAAGGGAAAAAGGAAAAAAAATCTATTTATCTTATCTTATTGAACTCAAATAGATACTATACCATAAAAATACATATATGAAGAATTTAATAGTACTTATTTAGTGTGATAAATATTACTAATATTTTTTATAAACTTAGTCAAGCTTTAAATCGTCTGGTTTGGCACTATCCTACAATTTTTTTTCCCAGGAATGGAATATATACACGGCGAATGACGTTAATATATGCTTGGCACACGGCAGGGGGCACATCATGTCGTTGTTGGTTCCCACTCCACGGTCCAAAGAGAAGGAAAGTGAGGATCCCATCCTCATGCATACATGCATGCCCAGCAGTACTTCGCATGTGTTCCAACCAGAAGAATAGAAGATGGGTGCGGTAGGCAAAATAACACACGTGAACATGTGACCGGAGAGGCCATCTAGCTTCTAGCGCACCGTACCCATAGTGAGGTCCATTTTTTTTATTTCGCTATACTTGGCTAAAGTACAAGACAATAGTGCGGTGGATTGGTGGAAGCCTTAAGCCATGGAAATCTATAAATATTAATGAATTATTATTGACCCTCGTCTAAAGGTGTATCACCATCTTCCCATGCACCAGCTCGCTTTCGATTTTTCATGTAGGCTCTTTTTCTTGTGTTAAAAGTGCCAACTTCTTAGTTTTCGTACTTGAATTTCGAATGGTGAAAAAGTTGATCCTAATTGACCTACTGAATATATAGATAGCACTATATTTAATAAATTGGAGATTTTAGTATTTTGTGCATCCGTTTCCACCATGCATTTCTGCCTCCTGCTGGCTGAAATGCAGGGGATGTGTATCGTTCTAGTTAGTCTCTTCGAAACAATCAGATGTATTTTTTCTTTGTGGAGCAATTTTTGTTTCAGGTTAAGTCATTTTGCTATGCAACTTTTTCCCCCTTGGATGTGGAACAATTTTTCCTTCCAACTAAAGCATATTTGATCTAACGATCCATCCTAGGAAAAAAATGGACAGAATGGCGGGACAAAAAAAATGTTCATAAATCTTGTCATATATAGATGCACGGCAAGGTGGCTTCTAGTCACATAAGTAACATATAGTATATCTCCCGTTTATTTTGTGGGGCATAGAGTACAAAGTACTCACTACTAGAGAACAGACTTTAGAACGATGTCCCAATTTAGTATTAGCCTCGGCATTTTTTGTCCCCGGGACTAAAAGACCTTTAGTCCCGGTTGGTATAAAAGGTTCCTTTACTCCCAGTTGGAGCCACCAACCGGGACTAAAAAGTCCTCCAACCTTTAGTCCCGGTTGGTAATACCAACCCGGACTAAAGGTACATCCTTTAGTCCCGGTTGGTAACATCAACCCGGACTAAAGGACCCTTTAGTCCCGGTTGGTAACACCAACCGGGACTAAAGGTCCCCCGATGGGTTAGTTCAAAAGGAAAGTATCATATCCATTGTTAGATGTGTTGTGTAGGTGGGGTGGTAAGCTCCGCGCGAGGCAGTGCATAAGGTCTTGGGTTCGAATCTCACGGGGCGCAGCGGTGGGAGACATTATTTTTTTTAAGCTAGGAGGATCTTTAGTCCCGGTTGTAGCAAACCGGGACTAAAGATCCCCACCTTTAGTCTCGGATTCATAGTTCCGGTTGGGAAACCGGGACAAAAGCCCTTTCCCAACCGGGACAAAAGCCACGTTGTGTAGTAGTGACTATAGGTATGAAAGGGGTGTGGGGGAAGACCTATTTTCAAAATTCATTTTTTAAAATAAATTTAAAATGATATTAAATGAATGTCACCAGTATTACAGAATGCAAAACAAAACCATCCAACCGAAAACACATCAAATCTCTTATCATAGGTTCGTGGCAAGATGTCTTCTAGTACTGTGTGACATAGTACTTTCTGTTTAGCTTGGCAAGCATGGTCTTGGTCATAGCGCCAAGGTTTAATGATGCCCAATCAGGTTCTGGAGCACCACAGTCAGCACACATATTATTGGCATCAACTTTCCTAAGCAACAGGCCCGTACCTACGTTTTTGTGGCCCTGGTGCAAAACATAAAGTGGGGCCTATATTTATAAAATGCAAATAGCCAAAGTGCACGTAGACTTCCTCATGTAATACCATAAGCATTCGTACAAAACGATTAAATGACGAATCTTACTTACTGATAACTTCTTAGCTTCTATTAAAAAGCATCATTCGTCTAGTATTCTTTAAAATGAAATCTTCAATTATATCTTTATACTTAATCTTCTCTAGAACATCATTTTCAAGCGCAATTGTCGCCAATCCATTTAGCCTTTCTTGTTTCATAGTACTGCGCATGTAGGTCTTTAGCAACTTCAATTTGGAAAAGCTTCGTTCTGCGGATGCAACTGTTATAGGAATAGTTAACAAAATTCTCAAAAGCTAACAGAGGCCACCAGAGGGAGGTCAGGTCACGTTGTTGAACATGGGGGGCCCAAAAATTTGGAGGCCTGGTGCAGTTGGCCCAGTTGCCATGCATGATATACGGGCCTGCTAAGCAAGTCAATTGGTTTTTCAGGTTTGCTAGTTCTGTGATGATGTGTGCCTCTGACATCATGCTGCCCATTTCCAGAGTACTCCAGTACTATTACGGAAGGTTCAAATTCATGGCAATCGTCCCTTGTATATATATTATTTTGCACAAGGAAAATGTTTATATTTTACAAAGAACAAGAAAACAGTGTTACCGATCATCACCTCATCAAGCGTACTAAACTACCGTACACATTGCTTCGTGCAAGAACGGCTCAAAATTGAATTAAAATGAAGATGCTGATGCTATGCACCAACCACTAAACAAGGCAGCAGGAGGCATACTAACTGAGAAGAAACATAAATTGTGGATCTTTTATACAAATTAGACTCAGCCACACATTGAAGCTACAAGGTTTGCGAGCAAAAGCTGCAATACACAGGCGAACTGCGCCATGAGAAAAGGGCCAAACTGCAAATGGCCGCAGTTGACCACAACGTCCATTGTTAGGTCAGGACGACGCACCGTCCGACCGAGGTGACTGGTAAGGTAGTCTTTTTTTTTCTGAGGTAGGAGTAAAGTAAAGTTTCAAAACACGATAGAGTAAATAAGACATTGGTCAATATTACATAATAGAAGTTCCCAGTGCAGTAACCGAAACACAAACATAAACACAAGATGTTTAACAGTTGGGTTCATGGTGGCTTCATGCAAACCAACCAGTTACCCATTTACAGTAGCAACATGAGACTTATTTGGACTGAGCCTAAATCACCAGTATTTTTTTTTGCCAATGTCCAAGCTTCACAGATAGCTGCTTCTTTATAACCCTTCTTTTAGCTTGCAATGCTCTTTTGGCTTCTAATGTTCTTTTCGCATCCGTAACGAACAACACCATTAATTTTTAGGCCCGAGCCCTAAAATCACGGACCATCATCATTCTGTTGAGGACTTCCAAGCAAGTGCCCTTAGCAAGCTTATTTCTATATTTATGTGCATCCATCAACAACATTGACAGTTCATCCCCTGTAAATAACTCTTTTTTCATCCAAAGTTGTTCCTAGAGGGTTATATAGGGTGTGTTTGGTTCCTTAGCCTAGGCTCTAGCCAGGCTTCCATAATATAATTTGGGCTTGTGGCATGATAGCCAGGCTTCTACAGGCCCATTTCGTACAGATTTGTTGTCTTGCTGGAAACGCCCGATTCGGGCGTTCTCGCGGAGCCTAGCTTGGCCAGGGGCGAGTGGCCCTTCCCGTCACCTTCGGTCTTCTTCCCTCGCTCCGGCTTCGGTCCTCCTCCTCCTTCTCCAGATGATCCGGCTGGCGAGCCCTCCTCCTCCTCCACCCCACCGGCCAGCGAGCCTCCTCCTCCTCCTCCACCGCACCGGGCGGCGAGCATGCTCCTCCTCCTCCAGATCCGGGGTGAACGAGCCCTGCTGCTGCTCCTCCACCCCACCCCACCGGCGGGCGGCGCCACGCGCGCGCACCAACTTCCCATCGACGCCGAACCGTCCGCCGCCGCCTCTCCGTCGTTCCTCTCCGCGGCGCTCGTCGAGAAGCTGCACCGGTTCGACCTGGTGTCCGTGCAGGCCGCGCAGCGGCAGAGGGAGGCGGTGGCGGCGACCTCCGCGGCAGCCGCCTCGGCCGCGACGCCGCCGTCGGGAGCGCAGTGGGGCGATGCGACCTGCCTAGCGCCTGTCCAGGCAGGCAGTGCGGCTCGTCGATGGCCACCGTCGTCGCCCGTGCAGGTGGGCAGGCGGCTCCTCGGTGGTGATGTGAGGCTGCGCGGCCATGGCGGACAGACGTGCTCCAGGTGCAGGCGGGCGGACGAGCTCCTGGTGTCGGCCATGGCGGACGGATGTGCTCCAGGGTGCCGGCGGGCGGACGAGCTCCAGGTGTTTGATGAAATGACTGAGAGAAGGTAGACTTACCAGTAGAAGTATGAGGTGACTCTATGCCCTTTGCACAGCAAACCAAACACGAACTCGTCCTGGCCAGGCTCAGCAGCGCAAGCAACCAAACAAACGCGTGTTGGCTCCCTGGAAACAGGCCTGCGGTGCCCAGGCTAGGATTCCTGGCCAGGCAACGATGGACCAACAAACCAAACACACCCATATGCAGCCTGTTCGTTTCGGCTTACACGATCATAGATTATAAGCTAGAATAGTATTTTTCTCTCACACCAAACTAGCCAGTAGTACTTCTGACTTATAATCTACGACTGTTTTAGCCGAAACGAACAGGTTGATGATCTTAGAGCCGTCGCAAGTTTGATCAAATCCCAACCCTTATAGTTAACGCCAGACCACCTGAAGGAGGTCACCACCTTCGCGCAGCGGGGTAGAAAGATTCCTCTCACAAATATCAGAATCGTACAAGACGCATGCCGCCATAATCATTGCTTCAGAGACCATCTCTGGTTTCACACCGAAGCC